CAGTCCTTATCCATTTCATCATGGCAGGTATGATTTGCTCACTTTGTAAAGTCTGAACATGCAATGATAGGATATTGGAAAAGCTGAGTTAATACTCTGTGTGTAATTATTTCATACTGAATGAGTGAATACTCCTATTATTCTTCATTGTCTTGCAGTAAGATATCCTTATACACAACATTCAGAATATTGGAGTGCATGTGAAATATTAATGTGAATGTATTGGTATCTTTAAAAGTATAATCATATCCCAGACCTAACAGTTGTAGCAACTATAAAATCTCCTTCAATATCCCACTGCACTGGCATATGATTACTTTGCAATGCTTATTTTCTGATTTTTATGCATGGAAAGAACACAATTATTTTCTTCTGTGTGTCTAATAACCTCTGTAGAGCTGACTTCACTGTGAAATCATGACTTTTCAAAGTTAGTATGAGTGCACACTGCTGATTCAAAACTAATTTGTGCAACTGCTTTTTTTTTTTCTTTTCTGTTTTGGAGAGCTAGCCATAAAGATATAACAAGAGGTCTACTGGCTGATTTAATATTCCCTGCGCGCTACAACTGATGAGAAAAAAGCCACCCTTTTTTCGAGAAGAGCTGTAATAATTTCCTGTAGAAAGCCCCACATGCTATTGCATGAATAGTGATAAAATTTTACAAAGAACACCCAAGATAAATTTCAATATCAGGAGCAATTTTCACTGTCCCAACACATCATGAAGTTAAGAATTTTCAGAGTGGTGAATCTAAGGTTTGCTTCCTACTCCTTGTTTTGGGCCACCTAAGATATAGCAGCCTAGCTTTCACATCCTACTGAAGCCAGTAGGAAGCAATGGTGCTTAGTAATTTCTATTTAAATGCCCAATCAAGTAACTAAGGCCCAAAGTTTCAAATGTGGCTTCCAGAAACAAAGCACCTCAATTAGGTACCTACTGGGTACATTCAGATACCTACATGTCCAGCTGGGAGCCCAGAGTCAAAACTCTCCAACCAATCAGATTATTTAGCTGCATAGCCATAAACTTACACACCAGATTTCAGGCTTTACTCTTCTGCTTAAGAATGTGTACTGTAGGGCACAGCTGCATAAGTATTTTAGCTTGGATCGGTTGAGTGGCTGAAATGAATCTGTGGATCTTCGCCTGCTAACCTGCTTTGGTTCACATGGCA